GTTGATCTCTGGTAATTTACTGCTGCGTACACCTCAACCATTATTCTCTCCAAATTTATCCATTCCAAGTGCAGACTTCAGTTTTTCTTCGAAATCTGACGATTGAAGCACAAACACCTCAACCGGTTTTGAAAAACTCCATTTGAAAGTACACGCAACAAAATGCGCAACGCTTGTTATTTACCCTCCTGAAAATACGCATACGCGGGATGCGTTTTGGACGCGATGTCCTATCCAGTATATATGATGGACATCAATGGTCAGGCATCACCCACGGATATAAATAGATATGAAGCAAGGGTCAGGCTCCACAAGTTGAGAGCCCGGTACCGGGTGTTTTCGATTTCATTACAGTGGTGCACCCTGTATATGTGGGCATTTGCCATTCGTTGTCAGGTCCTGATTCTTCCTAGATCCTCCTATAGAGGGATTTCACATTAGCTCCATCTGCGCATATCTGCATCGAAACCGAGGCTCTCCGTGTTAAACTTTTTCGTGCGAGCCCGCGGAGTCCACGCAGTACATGGAGTATCCGGTTCGTAAGTGTGACACCACTTCAGTTTAAACCACGCCCACTGCACAAGATACACGACCATCACAGGTACGTTAGTTCGCGGTAAACTGCCGTTATTTTCTTTTTTATGTGTTGAGTCATCCTGAAAGACTCTTCGACAAAAAGTTGAAGCCTGGAAAGTCTTAATTTAACATACCTTTATGTATTTTGTGTCTTGACTCCTTACTTTCCATCGTCTAATCGTAGTAAGAATTGAAGCTAACACATACAGCCTCGTTTTCAAACGCGGAAATGCGCAGATCGACGCTAAAAGCGTCGTATTGGGATCCCTCTATAGGGAGATTACCGAGGAGACCTTCAAAGCATAAACAAAGCCTGCAATGCATTGGTCCATGAAGGAAGGAAGGTCTGCACTTCACCCGCCATTGATTTCGGCCAAGGCGACCTTCAATTTCAGTGTAACGTCAAAATTGTAGGATCAACAGCAGCCATTAGGCTACCGGAGTTTACGTTCAACTGCAAGCCTACCTACCCGGCCGGGAATAACCGAAGATCAACTGTACCACAAGGACATGCCAAATAGGTTGGACGACTTTGCAATAGTTCGGCTATTTCCGGAAAAATGGAGGAATTTCTCCAGTCTTGGTCACGTGGATATTGGGTGATGACCCTTGATTCGCAGAGTAGTCAGAATCACCGGGTCTGGCATCCAGACTAGATCCAATGGCTGAACACAATATCCACATAGCAGCTCATGTCATTCCTGTAGGCCTACCTGAAATTGACAGCGTGACTAGTGACGGCTTGAAGATTCAAGAAGTTGTACAAGTTCGAACAAGAATTTAATTGAAGGATCAGTATGACATTTTAAAAGTGGTGGTAAACAGCGGAATTAATGAAGCTGTAGAAACACAAGTATGAAAAGAAAAACATTGGAATAGATGAGGAGAATGGAAGTGAACATGAACGTCTTAAGATGATGAAGGATAAGTAAAAAAAATAATTCAAACAGTGTGGGTAAAACATTGATTCAAAATGCACACTTATTGCGAGGCGTAGGTAAATTTTTGTATAACAATCACTTATTGCAAAGCGGGTTTAGGCACGGCTGTCCTGTCTTAACCGGTTCCATAAGCTCTCTGGTGGGTGATTTTCCCCGATGACATTTGCCACCCAGCACGTCAGGCCTAAACGAGCCGAGACGCGTGGCAGATCGCCTCTAACCTAATCCCAATGATCGCTAACATGCGCTGGGAACTTGGCCAATTTTACCAGGCCCACCTCGGCGCTGCCAACGGGCCCAGGCCCCCACAGGCTCATAGAGACACTAAGTTAAAAGAAATTTAATTGCCTGGATATCATTAAGTGTACCGATCATAGGTCCTCCCCAAGCGCTCACTTAGAGACAAACTCCCAGGAGTATTTTTAAACAGATTTTTTTTAGGGAGCAGGTTGGCAGACTATACGGATTACGACCATCAAGTTCCATGCCGGTGATCATAAACGCATGCATGCCCAACTGCCGGACGATGTGATGTTGGTACGAAATTCACAGCTGACTTGTTCGCATCATGCGTGGATAATAACCCATCTGGCCCGTCTGCTAGGCTTGGGGAGGATTTCTCTTTCTTTCTCTCTCTCCGCCTGCCAACTTCCTGGCAGGGGAGTGGACCAGGCGTGTATCTACAATCATTAACCTTGGAGATTGCAATGAAACTGAGTTTTCCAAATTGGCCGCCACGCGTGCGAAAACGCTCCGCAGGTTTCGTCCAAAACTGGACTCCCTCTGAGGACGTGACACCACCACGGACGCTTCTCCAAACTGCAAAACTGGTTCATAAATCGAGCCTACTGGTAAATTTTTATGAGACACTGCTCTAAATTGTTAAAGCTTTTTTTTTTAAAATATAATTTTGCATTAACACCAGCCAATGTCCTCTTAGGCCTACTTTATTAAACTATACAATAATCACAAGTTAATACAGAGAATCTTAAGGGTAAACCGAATGTCAAAGTATGTGGCAGCAGTGAACCTACATTATAGAATTTTGCAAAGTAGACAGTAGATCCTTCCCCGGAATGCGTAAATACATGTATAGCGTTTTGAATCAAGAGGAAAACCTCACGGGTGTAGGCCTGCAGTACTTAGACCAAAGGTTGTGTGTGCCTCACCCAGTTTCATTGCGTCTATCCAGCCGGTGGCATGAAGTGCCGATGGAAGTTCGCGTGTCTGAATCTTGTACCAGGGATACGGCTGCGCACGGGGTATCACCTGACTTCCGGCCACGCCCTGCTAGATTTAGCCTCAGGAAGAAGACGGTGTCCCTTCCTTATGAACTTCGTGTTTAGTGTCGTTGATTACCTGCGACCACCACCAGTCAAGACGCCGCATTTAAGCTGCATGGAAGAATTCTGTATTTCTGATAAAAGGTAGAAACCGAGTGTGCAGGATAAATATTTACCTTTGAGCTAAAATAAAAACGCACAAAAGACCTGATTATTTAAAAGGTGTCTGCCCCAGAGCTCGCCTCACAGTTCAACCTTTCTGATAGTAAAATTCTTAGCAAAGGGAAGATTGTATTTGCGCCTGCGCAACTGCTGTAAGAGTATCCGGTTCGTAAGTGACTTCGTCACAAAAGGCGGACGCGCCACGATTTGCAGGCTCCCATTGGACAATCGCTGAAGTTGCGCGTTAACTTCCGGTTCCATGGTTCCACGTAAACAGAGATCAATGCATGCAACTCTCTATGTGCAGTGCATGTGCTGTCGGCGTGGTTTGAACTGAATCCTTACGTCACACTTACGAACCAGTTAGCGCAGTGATTTCCTTCGTTTTCATTGTTTTGTTTTTCCATTTCTCGTCTTTAGTTTCCTCATCATTATCATCACGAGGATGTGGTGAAATGAGTGTGCTTGTAACTATAGGCCTACGTCCTGGTGAGCACTTCTTCACAATGACCGCTGTAACATGACCAAACAGAAACATGGAGGACGGCATTGTGTTAGATTTATACGTCAAAGTACATACCCTTCTCTGGTTTCCGTTCTCACGGTCGAGACCTACGCCTAATTCCAACCG